ACAAACAAGTTTAAGCACTACCTTTCAGTTAGAAGTACATTTGCACTAGTCAGCAAAATAAGTATTATTTTTACCAATCTTTTTAATTATAAGAAGGATTTCTTCGAAGAGTCAATTTTGGAAGCATTAGTTGCTCAAGGAATGAGATTTTTCTGGTACTCAGGAATCTTTATCAATGTACATGCTCTATCAGACTCTGCATGTCCAGTCAGTCTACGACATTCATCTAAAGCACTGGGAATATCTCTCAGAACACAAAAAACTGAGTCATGACTTATAATGCATGAACTGTGAATTGACATGAGAATCGCACAGAGCTAGGTAGGCTAAGCTTGGATATCTCATACATTAAGATAATTGCATCCTCATACTTTCAATTTTCACTGATCTAGTGCTTGACAATTTTTCTATAGTAAGATCACCATAGAGAATCACGAGACATGCTAGAGGATAAAAAATAGTTACCTGATGAGCCAAAGCATATGCCATTGCCCTTTCACGCTTAGCTGCAGCTTCCTGCCTTTTCAACAACTTGGCTTGAATATCTTCAACGGATCCAACACTATCACACCACCCTTCCTGTGTAAGAACCAAGGCAACAAAAAGAAATAAGAGTGCATAAAAGCAAAACAAAATGGAAAAAAAAGTACTTAAACAGAAAGAAAACTACTTCACTTATTTTGGCTGTGAATTGTGGCTCAAAAGAGAGAACAGGATTCCAGCACTTTCAAATTCTACGAACAAAATGTTGACACCATACATATAAACCAAAATAAATAAATAAATAAAACTACATTCTAACATGCATTGTGAACAGAAACAATCAGACAATAGATAAGCTGCTGAATCCTGACTTGTTCATTAGATTGTAATCGCTCTTGTCTAATTTATCAGTATAACGAATTCTTTGTATGACCTATGGAATGTGCGTCATCTATTTTCTCAGCTTCCAAACTAGTCAAGAAAAGGTAAACTGATGCTAGAAACCAGGCAAGTCAAAAATTACAATGTCACTGATGTGACACCATATCAGCTAACCAATGTGCAAGACAGAATGATAAATATTAGCTCACTATCCATTTATTTTACATAAACACTAAGAAGTGGCCAAGAAAATATCATGAAATGATAGCATCTAGAATTTGCATACTTCTATTTCCCTAACATGAGCATCATGTTCAAGTTGTTGTTGAAGTTTCTGTTGGGCTGTTTGATTTTCCAGTGCCATACGAACACGCCTTGCTCGGACACGGGCCTGAACTCGAACTAGAGCTTGCATACAGCGGAGAGTGATTGCAGCTTGCTTTCTTACAGCATGGCCCCTAACAAGGGCTTGAAGTCTACTAGTCCCTTTAAGGCTCTTAGAGCTCGTCTAGCCTGAAAATCATCAGCAATTTTGTGTCTAACGTCAAACTTCAAACATAGAAGACTAGGTACAATTCTTGCATTAAAAACTTTTATCCCATAAACAAAATTTTATACAAGAAAATAAATATATAATAGTTCCTTACAACTGTACTCTGGGGGTAAAAATATAAAAACAAAACAAAAAAAGGAAAACTGTACCATGATAGTATATAGCATTCAGGTTTTAAGGTTTAAGAACTTGTAATATATGTGAAGATACTTTTCAAATCTAAAGCTATAAAATGACACTCAACAAAAACAAGTTCAAATAATATATCTTGATCTGGTATAGGTGCCTGTCCACAAGATACATGTCCCATTCCCGTATATTGATATATTAATGTCATACCATCATTTGCTTAATTAACATATTGAAAATATACATACAATCAACTAGTAGTCCTAAAACAGATTAACCATCCTCTCCCAACTAGAATTTTTGAATGCAAAGGTAGGCAATGGCTGAGTTAAGGGGAGGAAAAGTAGAATACTTTCAGCTGAAAATCTTCTAATCTATAGATCTTTAAAAGAAATAAAGATCAACAGAACAGCATATCAGGAACATACAGACAAATTGGAGAGAGAAAAAAGTGATGCAAGAAGTACCAGGAATCCTCTAAAAGCTGTTTGAATGCGGATGGCTGCCCATTCTTCTCTACTGTATTGAATTTGAGCTGCATCTGCCACTTGAAGTGAAGTAGAAGGCGTGCCAGTGGCATCTGAAAGTGAAAGTGCACTAGCATCTTCAGCTGGCCTTGCAGCATCATGACTCAATTCGTCCTGAAGTATGTCAGTATCAATTTCAACAGAATGCTTTCTCCGGTGCCAAAACTTTCCAGTAGTACTGGTCCTCTGTAAAATGTACAATATCAATGACTGATTGAGAAAGCATAGACACTGTGGAATGTGAAGCACATGTAAAATAATGTTCAGGATTTAACACGAAAATGAAAAGATGACATAAAAGCAAGAGTTCAAGATTTTCTAATTCGTAAGCACTTCTGCTTTTACAATATCCATGTTGTAGCCAGGTTCTTTTAAGTTTACCAAGCAGGAGATACTGGAGTTTAGGCCAGAGCCCCTAAACCAGTAATGTGAAATGGCACGTTCACCTCTCAGAAATTGAGAAAAGATGAACTGAAAGTTTGACACCCAATGCTCTCACAGACAGGAGTGGAATATAAACAACTCAATGAGTTCCTCATTTATAAAAGAACAATAGGATATGCATACTAAGTTTCATCTATGCAAGTGGAAAATCTCTATGACATGCACATCACTCTTAACATTCATTACTTTGACCATTTTTTCCTCTTTCTGGATGGTAGTTGGCAAAAATAGGCACATATTGTGTCATAATTCTTCTTCTCTTCTTTTATATCCCCAATTGATGTAACGTCTTTTGTTTCGCTTCTTTTCTTCCTTTAGTTTTTTGTTCAAGCTGTTGGTTTGGGGAGAAGGGGGGTTGTGGCAAATAATAATAATGCCAAATTTGAAAAACTATCCATCTTGTGTCCTTCCACTCCTATTGCCCTGTGGGCACCTGAGGATTTGTTAAGTACTCACATTTTCATCCTTTTCTGAAGATTGTGATCTTTCTGGTTTCTTCAAACCAACCAAAGCTTTAATCCATTTCCCTGATACACCCATTGTTAGCAGTTTTGGCTCATCAGACCTGCAACAAGTAATATAAATGACTCAGTACTACTGCTAACTTCTAGTTGTACCTTAGAAGAACTAATGAAGAAACCCGCAGAGGGAAAGCAAGTTCAATAATCAAAAAACACCTTCATATATAAGACAATCTATATGGAAAAAATACTAATCAGAGCAAAAAGGTACAGAATAGATACTCTTAAATGGGAAATGTGGTCCACGAGCATGTGATATACAGTCTTGTGCTCACCATTTGCTTCTAAGAATGGGACATACAGTATTGGTGTTGTACTTTTCCATTTACTTCTAACAAGGGAGACTCTTGAGATGTACTAAACATTAAGTGACTCATGCTTACAGCATATTGCATGGGAAAAATGCAACAATAGAATATGCACTGACAGTGATTTCACCTGATCCATGCTGTACCAAAAGCGCTCTATACCTGCTTACTTCTCACAAGAATGTTAATAAAGCTCAACAGCCAAGATGTCTTCTCAAATTAGTAGAGTTCAAAAATTACAATTTTTAATTTCTTCTATCTAAACCACGATAACTGAAAGAATAGAATTCTCAAATTCTTAAAATGAGGCGGTAGAGTTAATTCCCAAAAGAATAGGTAATGACCTTGCACGAATCATAAAATGACTTTAGTACTGTTAAAATCTTAAGTAGCAAAACATGTTAAATAATCCCAACTTTTCCATTTTTCATGTGCTATTTCATACAAAGCAAGAATCCTGTTACTTATGTGCTACTTCATATATCCTGTTACTTAACTAGTGTTGCACTCAGCAGTTTAAGCATGAAGCATCTTGCTCAATTCACTTCTTCGTTTACACCTTAGTGTCATAATCCAGTAATAGTTCTTGCAGTCTTCATCACAGTCATTAAGCTGCTTATATAATTGCTCATGTTACACATTACTCTTAAGGAAAACACGCTACAACCACCAAGCTCTAATCTTAAAGTTGGCTACCCAAACAATCATCTTGTACACCCAGCATCACAACAAAACTTCTCTCTTGGGATTTTGTGAGCATGGGATAGCCTAGCACATTGAAAGTTATGAAAGCTGCTCGTCACTGCTGTTGAATAGACAATGCAATAATGCATCACATATATGGAATGAAATGCAATGGATGAACAGGAACCCCTGATATATGAGGATGACTAAACATCTACTACATTGTTAAACCTCTACATCATAATCCATCCCCCCAACTAAATACTCACCTTCAAAAGGAAAGCTTTATGTAACTCCAAAGCATCCAATTGAACAAGACTATTTCTTTGTTATAAACAATGCAAAATGTAATCTTCCCATGCCATCCACTCCTCTCTTTTCACCTGAGAAGCACGGTAACAGAAATCATTGTCAATTTTGCAATTCAGAAAAATAATTCACTACAAAACAGGACATCCATAAGTACCAAATGTAAAACTCATAAAACATCTATAAGATTAAAAAGAATGGATTAATTTTGCAAATAATTAGGCTTGTATTGCACAGATCTTTACTGGTGCAGAATGATGACCTCTTTGATGACAATGAAAACTACTTTATCATCCGCAACATCAATTATGATAAAACAGTAGAAGTAACCCGTAATTACCAGCTCTATCACTAGTTTTCCCATTTGTGAAACATCTAAGCTAATCAAACAGAAACCTAAAACAATAAAATGAAATAATTGAATTCCTTTAATCCAAAAGCTTGACACATACTGAACTAACTTGATCCCTTATCTTACAAACAAACATACAATTCAAATGGATTTCCAGAAGACCTCAACTTAAGAGCCAAAATTCAAACACCCCCATCAAGAAACTGGATGGTGAGTGCTGCAGTGATGAAAACTCAGCTAAAGTTTCGAACTTTATGGATCATGCCAGCTCATGTTGTAATAAATTCACCTAAAACTGAAAAAATACCCCACCAGAAGAAGACAAAAAGAATAATACGCTGCTGACTGCTCCAGCTAAGTGAAAGGAAAGCCCAGTTGAGACAATTCAGCAAACGAGAAATGCAGATCTATAGATCATCCAACTGGCATGCGTATATAGCTGCAAAAAGAGCTGAATTCAATTCATGGTGGGCACGTTTGAGAAAAACAAAAAGGAACCCTTTTCTTTACCTCAAGTAAAAATGATGGGTTTTTGAAGATGCTTCAGAAAAAGAACCTGAAAACAAAAAATGGGTGCTTGGTGTTTGGACTCGGTACAATGGGAGAAGAGTAAATGATGACTAAATATTAATTTAAATGCGAAAAAGGATTTTGGCTTTGGTTTCTTGTTGGGAGGAATCTAATTATGTCTAATCTTGTCCGTTGGAAAGTTACCTTGTAATAATAATTAATCTTCTATGTCTCAATCACAATCAATCAACCAAAGGAAGGGAAAGGTCAACCTGTGGTCAACGGTATCCGAAAGCTTTAGACAAAGGTAATTATTTTCTGTTAGTATTCTTTTTCTGACAGCTTTGGAGTCTTTTTAGAGTGGTTGTTACTCCAATCGATTTGAAATAGTGTACGAGCAATTGAGCATCATTAGTGCGACACGTTTTAACTTTAAACATTGGTTAGAACAAGTTAAGGGTAAAAACAAGAATAATTTGAATTTTAGGACATCTAAAAGTAGCTTTACTTGGTACTTCTATTCCAAAAAGAGAGAGAGAGAGAGGTTTGGCAATTTCTCTCTCCAAAAAAATCTATATTTTTTATGAACATATTTTTAATTATTTTTTTATCTCACATAAATAAAACCATTACAGTATTTTTTTTTTCCAAAAAAAAAAAACTCTAGAAAATAAGAATTCAAACGGGCTCTAACCATGTATCTTTTGATTGTTTGCTACTTCATTGATATTGATAGGTTCTTGAGTAATTGAGCATTGAGAGAAATGAAGTAGTTTTCAAGTTATACGCTACTAATCGATATTTAGCAAAATTTTAGTCAAATAACATTTCATAGTTGATTTTTTGTAACCCCTTTTTTTTTTCTTTTGAATAGAGTCTGTCTTCTTGAAGTTGCATATGTAAATATTCTTAAGGATAAAAATTTTGCAATTAAGAGAAAGAAAATATAACCAATGGATTTATAAGTTAATTTTTTGTAGTTCAAAGTTAACAAATATGAGCTAAACTCTTATAATTTTCTTAAAAGTAAGACATTTGTTAATAATTGTGCTAATAACCTAATTTCTTTCTTTTTTGAGGTAAGAACAAAATTTTCAAGATTTGGAATGTATATTTGTTTTTCATTGATATTATTCTAAACTCAAGAAAATAAGTACAAATTTTAACATGTTGAGCATGAGTTAAAGACAAATACGAAAGTCTATATGCAAGATGAATCTGCCACCCCATAATTGTAACTTTTTAAAGAATCAAATTAGTGGCTCAGCTTATTTTTATGAAACCACCATACAAATAAAAGAGAAAAAAATTACACTATGGATTGGAGATGATATATCCATTTGAAACGGAAAAAAAACATTTCTTTTTATTTCCAAGAAACAATAATACTTTGTCCTTTTAGCTTCCTAGTTGCTCAACCCCCACAATTCTTTTGGTAGATTTGATGGATATTCTTAGAAAAAAAAACATTTTTCTTCCTACTATTTTTAACACCTAACCCTATTTAAATTGCTATTTTTTTTAATTATTATTGAAAAATGCATCATAGCGATTTAATTTGACGTGAATGAAGTAAAAGAAGAATTAATTTTTTTTAAGATTCAAAACTCTTTTTATCCGCTCAAAATTTCAGGGTGCGACGGCGTCGTACAACGTTGCGGAGGTAGGGAGGTCGTTGTCAAAAAATACGGCCAAGGGTCAATCACGGGATTCTATAGAGGGGCCCACACAGATCGGATGGCTCCATGTGTCGCCGGCAAGGGCCAATCGGGCGGGCTTTGGTTACTGCTGGTACAGTGGGATTTTTTAGCCATGGGCATGAAAATTGTGGAAGACACGTGAATCTTTAAAAAGACTCATAAAAAGGCTTTTTGCCCCTTTTTTTCTTATATAATCTTGAAAGTTTGTGCCTTTTACTTCACTTTCCTTCTAAAGATTTTCAAAAGAAACCTGTACAGATTTCTAAAAGTTTATACCACTATTTAGTCTTTGATAGTTGAAACAAACAAAAAATCGTACAAACAAAAAGAAGGAACGGAGAGAAGATGAAGGGCCTATTTTCATTTCAGACATATATGATACTGTATAAGGGTTTGGCTTTCAAATTTGTTTCATTTGCTTCTTATGGTTCAATGCAAATTCACACTAAATGCAGATATAGAATTAGGTGGCCCTTGTGAAATATGATGACACTAGAAAAAACAACAGTCGACAATGTGACGCATGGAGCATCAAAGAGGAAAACAAATAGTAGAAGGCAGGGGACAAAATAGTAGGGATAACTGATCTCACTTTCAAATGGACAAATAGTTTATCCCCTTATGATTAGATGTCACTTTGAAATTTTTTACTTCATAGAGAAACAATTTCCCAATTTTTTGTGTTCTTTACAGATGAGCTATTAATTTGGTAGGTTGACCAAGAGTTTTGCTGATCAATAGAATTACCTACTTCCTTGATAACTAATTAATACGATTATCGATATAGCAGTAAATGTTGAAATTTCAAAAGTTAGAGGTTCTGAGTTCTAATCTTCTTATCTCCTCGCCACTGGTTAAATCCCATCTCTCCATGTTAGAAGAAAGAACCAATAGCATCGGTAAAAGTGTCAAATGACTTTGAAGTTCACCAATTCACTATGGCAATATTTAGACCTTGTTTGGATTGCTTGTTTTCATCGGAAAATATTGTCGTTTTTCGTGATCACATTTCCCTATCACCTTTTTTCCTCACATATATCAAATCGCTACAGTAATTTTTTCCATGAAAAATGACAAAAAAATGCAATCCAAACACAATCTTAGTTCTCCCATATATGAAAAAAGTGCAACTTTTCGGACGTAAAAATCTCTAAGATATCGTTCAACTTCATCGATCAACCTTTGTTTTGCATGTTTTACTAGTGTAATCTAAATTCTACTGACGCTCGTAGGCTGATCGTTGAAGAAACATTTTCCAATCTGAAAAAGTTGCCATAGATCTCGAGGACAATAAGAGGAATGTCTTTGACATGTACGTTTGTGGGTATTACAATGTAGAGCATATATAAGTATGTGTATATGAATTAGGGATAAATCAATTCTTTGGTGGTTTGCCTTTCATCACGAAGAAAGGAACCAAGAATATTAACATGGGAAGAGTAGGGTTTGGCTCTTTTTGTTGGATCATTAATTAATTCAACGTTAGACTTATATGTAAATAATTATATGTGTTGCAGATTGTCAAATAAGATTAAATCTAATTAAAATGATCAATTATTATTTGAACTTTAATATATCTAATAGATTTGCCCTTCATCACGAAGGAAGGAACCAAGAATATTAACGTGGGAAGAGTAGGGTTTGGTTCTCTTCCCCTTCTCTTGCTCCACCTTGATAAAGGATCTTTAATTCTTTGTAAGCTAAAAACATGACTTAGGAATTTAGACGGCTATTAAGTCAACGGGTCTCATACCTCCAACTAGTTGTTGTTTAATGGATCATTAAACCCTCCATTATATTGTTCTAAAAAATAAAAAAAAAAAAGGAACTCCATGCATGAGTTATAAGCATTACTTTTGGAAGTTTGTTTGGCTCCTGGTTACTCTTCATGATGAGCATGACAATTCTACAGGAGCTTTTAAAGTCTTTCAAGTTGCTACGAGGAAAGGAAAAAATTCAAAAAAGAAAGAAAGGAATAGCTGTACATACAAAATAAAAGGGAAATTACTTTCGTATATCTTGTTATGTTCAGAGAATGACTCACTTCAATATAAAATGTATAGAGATAATTCAATATAATATGTGCACAAACAGATATATGTATTCTACGTTAGATTGATGGTTAAAATAACCATGTCAATAGTTTATCCATCACATGCACACTTTGCCTTTGCAAAATTATTAATGCCTTTCTGCCACCATAATTTTCAACTAAATTCGAATATGTTTTTATTAATTGAATTAAATGTTCCTCGATTATTCTTCCAATAATCTGATTAATAAAAAAAACCCATTAATAACCCACCACATTTAAGTGGATAAGCAATTACAAATTCAACCATTTACTATGTAGTAATTAGGTAAAAGCATTTAACGTAAAGTGTGACTAACTGTTGTGTTAATCCATGCAAACGGGACTAATGAGGTTATTTAGGTTCTTCAGCAAATATACAATCTATTATTTTTATTTTAGAATAGTAAATATTAGACAATCTATATGGAATATTTTTCAAATTTTATATCTATCTTGACAAATTCCATCATTATTATTGGATTTTAAAATAGTTGATTAGTAGATTTGATAAGTGTAACATGTATAGAATGAAGTTGTAGTGGTTTATTTTATCAGAAGACACTAAAATTTTTTTGTATAGCGATTTATCTTATTAGAAGACATTTAAAATTTTTTTTTGTATTTTTCACATCTATTTAGTGTTTTTCAGATCTTTTTGTTTTTTTTCTAGAGTATATTTAACATGTCACTAATGTAGATTTTTGTGATGTAATTTAAAACATGTTGGATGATGAGCAATCTCGTTAAACGAATTTGTTTGGATTCGTTTATTTTTCACAAACTACTTTTTTCAAATACAATACTGCAGTAATACATAAAAAAAATGACTTCAATCCATACAATGACTCAAAGCCAACTCACAATATATATATATATATATATATATAAAATCTTACCCCATTTTCCCTTTCCACCTAATACCTTTAAAATACTACCAAAAATATCTACAATAAAAGTTTTTTACATACATTATTACATTAAAATTTTTTAAAAACACCCCAAAAACAATCCATACGGATCATGTCCAAAAAAAGAAGTTAAAGTAGCTCAAGATGCAAATTGCAAATGGGAAAAAGTTTGGGAGGTTAAAATAGTACTATAATCAAATCATTCACATTGGGCGAGGACGGAACTGCCGCTGCCAGCGTTGCGCATTCACACTGACGCCGTCTAACAAAAACTAGTTCCCACCAAACGCGACTTTTGACCGGGCATTTGCCACTCCCAAAAACGCGAAACTAATATGGAAACTACTCAACGCCTTCTCCACAGAACCCTCTGGAATTACAATCTCCCCCGGCCATCACCCATCCAACGGCCACCAGTCTTTCCATCAAAAGACGAGAGTATTCTAGACCCCTCAATTTTTCCCGGAACAC